TCATCCTCACAGGGCCAAGCATAGGGCCAGGCAAATGGCTCACTGGCACCTGAAATGAGATGTGCAGCAGGGAGCAGACTAAGCAAGGTAGAGAAGGGGTCTCTTCATCCTAAGCCAGGAGCAACATAACCTTCTTACCCTCCCCTGCGTACCTTACCCCTTCCCTCTCGGAAAGATTCCCTCAGCTCTGATGGGAGCACCCAGGCTTGCAGCCTTGAATGCAGGCCCAGGGGAGTACTGCATCCCCAGCTACCCCTGAAGCAAATGAAAAAATATAGAGATAGGAAATGTGCTTGTGATTCTGTCACTGGGATATGCAAATAAAATATATATGATAGGTCTATCTGCCTAATATTCCTGCCAATTCATTCTCTGGGTGTGATTAAAATGAGCAATAAATTCCTCGTGAGTCTCGGTGGAGTGAGGATCTGGAGTAGAGACGCGGGCTGGCACCAGCACGTCCCCCTCAGCTGAATATTCATCATGGAATAGCTCCCCATATTTTTGTTTTATCTGCCATCATATGCACAGAGATATATTTCTAGCTCTCCTTCGTCTCTTAGTTAAGATGTGAAAATGGTCTAAGCTTTAAGTATTAAACTTTCCATCTAGAGAAATCTTTCAAAGTGAGAACACAGTCTACTTTCTCTATGATGCCTGCCCCTGTTCTTTCTTCCTGGAGGAGATTCATGCTTTCTTGGAGCCCCCACAAACTCTGTGTGTACCACTCCTAAGGCACAAGTCAGTCTGTGGGTATTAGAGCTAGGAGTGCCTGTCTCCCGCCACCCTCCTCTCCCAGACGGCCAGCTCAGGGGCCAGGGGCTGGGTTTCATTTACTTCTAGATTCTCTCAGGGGCCCCAAGGAGGCTTCCATATGCAGAGAATACTGAGAGAACTGAGGAAACCAGCAGTGAGGAGAAACTCATTTAGGCCACTTAAGGTGACGGAGATTCTTAGACAAGCAATGAATTTTAAAAGGTGAAATAAAATTAAAAATTAGGCTTATGGATAATTTTAAAATAGGAAAATCATCAAGAAATAATATTAAGTAAAAAAAGCAGATTCTAAATATGAAACTAGGATCATAACTCAAACACCTTCAGGGCCACACAGAAAATATAAATGTCTGACAGGTAAGTACATAATACAATAAGGAATGGGAGGGCCTGTGGCTGGAGAGTCCACATTCCAATCTCTAAGGCATTACATTCACATTTAAAAAAAATCTGGGTTGGCAAAATAAAACATGGCTCCCAGTTTGAGTTCCCTGGTATATACAGTAAGCTGTCATCCAGGTTAAAAAAAAAGGGCTATCTACATAAATACATAAGGTATGTCCGGAAAAGGTAAGTGTAGTACCATAAGAGTAGATCTCTGATTCATATCCCAATAGTTACTTATAACTTGATTTTTTGTAAGCCACCTGCTTCCTTTCAGCTTCAGTTTTCCAATCTGTAAAATGGTGATAATAAGAACTGCTTTATGAATATGTTACAGGATTAGAAAAAATATAGAGTATCTGGCATAGAGCCTAGATAAATTCAATAAATGGTACATACTATTATTATAAATAATTACAAATATTAATAGTGGTTATATAGAGCTGGTAGGGCAAGAATGTTTTTAATTGAGATTCAGCTCAGTTGATGTCTCCTCCAGGAAGCTTTCCTTGATCTCCCAGGTAGGATTAGAAGCCGCATCTGGGTTTTCACAGTCCCTGGGTTTCCTGGGACTGATGACTCAGTAGTGTCAGGGGTCACATGCTTATCTCCTTGTCAGACTGTGAGCTCCTTGAGTGTTTCACCATCTGTCTTCTTCCCACATAACCCAGAACCTCGCGTATAGATATCATTTGTGAATATGTCCTGAATTATTTACTTCTCTTCATTTTACTTTCTTCTACTTTCAAAATTTTCTGTAATGGGACAGATGACTTTTATAATTACAGATTTTCAATAACGAGCACATATTTGACTACAGAGTATTGGGTGAAGGTGGAAGAGGCTGAGCTGGGTGGCAGGGGATACTAGATGGATAGAAAAGCCTTAAGATAAGATCAGAGTGGCAGTAACCCATGTCTAGACAAAGAGATGAGGTCTCAGACTGGAGCCTTAGCACCCTCCAGGCCTGAGTCATTACATTACAGACATAGGGCCTAAACTCAGGAGCAGCTGCTGCTTACTAGGGAAAGGGACACAGAACCCAATTCTAAAGCAGTGTTCTTCCCTAGAAACTCTGCCTCACAATTTTGAAGAGCTCGTTTTTGAGGTTGGAGGAAAAAAGCAGAGCAGATAGAATGGGTGACTACGCAGATGCTAAGCAACTGAGGGAAAGACAGTGTTGTGGAGATGCAGTTCACCTGGGCAGAATCTAATGTGATGGCAGAACAATCAGGTGGAGATGCTCAGTGGACAGCTGGACATTCTAGATAGAGGAAGTCCAGACTGGCTGAAGGGATCAAGTATAGAGAGCTGATGACAGAAAAATAATCTTCCAGCTGAGAGGCTACAGAAGCCCCGGGCTGGCTCTAAGTGGTCATCTAGCCTCTACGAGCTGCCCCTTGCACAATGCAACAGCTCTATTAAAGAGTTCCTCCTTGCAGCTGCCCCCTCTAAGCTTGGCTCTGTCCTAACTTTGCTGCTGAATCAATCTCTTCCCCTCCTATTCACAGCTGTTCCTGTGCCTACGTGCAGTCTCTCCTCTCCGGGCCAGATGCCCCTGCTGCTTTCAACCTTTTCTTAGGGCACAGTTCCTCTTGCACTCTTACTGCCCTCCTCTGTACAATCTAAGAGCTCAGTCTACTCAGAAAGTAGTGTCTGCAATTGCCCTCCATGGTCTAGAAGGGTCTGATCAGCACAAAGGAACACAAGCCTGTACTAATATGACCAACATCAAGCCATTTCTTGGGCAGCCAAATTTTGTTAAGGGTCCCTTAGCAGTTCTAACCCCTCTATCTGTGCTGGCACCAAGAGGCTGTTCTCTTGCTTTACATGACCAGATCAGCGCCTACCCTATGTCATATCACCTGACATACCATGAGTACTCTCGGCCAAGGGAAGCACTTGCTTTCATGGGAGAGTAATTAGGTCTGAAAAGGGAGATAATGACTGGAGTGCAGTCCCTGAGGTTATCTGAAACATGTTTAGGGATTTCCTTAAGGCACCTGGGGTAGCTGATCTTACTTTCAAGGCTGCTCCTATCTATGGGTAGGGAGTCTGAACAAAGGGAGGGAAGTGCTTGCTCTCTGGAATTTTTACTCTTCTTGCTTCCAAGTGCCCCTCTGAATGTGCTGTTAAAGCCAGTCCTCCTTCCTAACTCCCTCCCTTCTCTGGAGGGAACTACTGCAAGACAGTTACTAAGGATCTCAAGGAGACAAACTGTGGTTAATGCCTGTTGCCAAATATTTCCAATTCTTCCCCTTCTAGGCACATGGTAGGCTCATTCTTCTTTGTCTCCTTGTGATTGGGTGGAAACATGGGATTAGTATCTCCAATGAGTTATACATGGAAGTAGAGGGTCCTACTTCCAGGCTGAGCATTAAACTGCAGATTCAAGATCTTCTAGAAAATTCTTTTCCCTCTGGCAAGTAAAGAACAACATTCCAAAGGGAGGATGTTCTGCCACTTGGGTACCTGAATGCCTATGATGAGCAGAGACCTCCCTGCTGACCCACGATGGACATACAGCATGAAGCAAAAATAAATCTTTGTTGTTTTAAACAACTGAAATTTGGAGTTGTTATAATAGCATAATCTAGTTCATTCTGACTGATACACAATCATATAGTGAATGGAAACTTAAAAACCATTTAGTCCAATGTTTTCATTTCACAGAGGTAAACTGAGCTTCAATGAAGGGAAGTGTTAGCCCAAGGTTACCTAGCCAGTGAGTAGCGGAGCTGGGATCACAACCCACATCCTGTCTGTCTCAGTCCAGTGACCTGTGCTCTAACTCAAGACACAGAGAATATTTGCCACTAGGTGGGACCTGCTACACTGAATGGTCTTAGGGCACTTTAGCCAATTTGCCAACAAGAGACTCCATGATGCTGAGAAGAGCATAAGAAAGAGTCAGAAACCAGCTGTTCCAGTTCCAGTCCTGCCAGTGAACCTACTTTGCTCAAGTCTATTAATTTTCAGTTTTGATGCTAACTTACTCTGGGACCAAAGGCAAGCCACATCACACCCTGGGCTCCAATATTCCTAGAAGTAAAACGAATCTGATTGAGGTTTCAGAAATTAAAAATGTTTGACCCATAGCAGATCCTCTGCAGAGGCTGCCTAGGAGGGAAGGGATAGGTCAGGGAAGGAAGAGGTTCACCTCTCCTTCAACCAGAACAGCTCTATTTTCCTCTGACTTATTTGTTTGGGCTTTGGTAAAATTTCTGATCATTGGACTTGATGATTTCTGAGATCTCTGCCAGCTCTGAGCTTTGTGATTCTAGTTCTTGGATTCTGCCAAGTAGTTCCTGAGTTACAGCTTGGTGGCTAGGAGGAGCAGAAGGCAGCCCTGGTTTTAGGGAGTTCAAAAGTTTGGTTGAGAAGATTAAGTTAAGATGATGTTTTTTGACTCAGACTATACCAAGTTCTCTGAAGTGTGTGTGGAGAGGAGGGGTTAGGGAATGGTTCTAGAAGAGTGATGACAGGAAAAGATTGCTTAATGAGGCTACAGAATGCATGAGGCCTCCAGAAATAGTACTTGGTCTAAAGATTTTATCTCACTAGCCCTCCTCCTAGGAAAAGAAGTTGGAAGGTCCATCACCTCAAAAACTGAATTTGAAAGTAAATCCTCAGAAGCCAGAAGTGGTCCAGGCCTCTTCCTGGTCATGACAGGGACAGTTTCCTATTCTTGATGAGATTGGGGGTTGGATTTATATTTAAACAGACAATAATCACCTGAGGAAAAGTGGCCTTTGGTGTGGGGCCTGACATAATTTAATGAGTGAAAGATTCAGTGTGTCACAGAGTGCCCATAGGCCTTCTCCTTTATCTAAGACTTACCTTGACCTCAGAAGTCCTTAGAAGCTTCATCACTTCCCCTTCTCTGGCATAATCCAAGGGTGTGTGTCCCATTTCATTCCTCTGTAGGGGGTTGGCTCCTGGCAGGAGGAGAAAGAGAAATTGTCAGAGGCTCTATGAGCGATCAGTGGGACCTTAGCCTTTTCTCAGAGGTGACTTGGGCCCTGATTTTAGTGTTAGGAATGCCCTTGGAAATATGGAGCAACAAAAACCTAAGAGATTTTAGAATGGAGGGAAAAACATGCCAAGCTACTCTGAGAGGAAGGTTCTTAGTCTTCTCTGAAACGGAGGTCTGAGTATTGGGGCCCCCACATGTGCAGAAACACACTACCCATACTACCACACACAGATGTGTTGCACATACAAATACACACAGCTGGACATGTTAACAAATATACCAAACACATAGATTAATATACCCCAATACTAATGTATTAGTCGTTAAAATACTATTATCCAACTCATTTGCATACAGATAAATATTCATTTATAAAAAATCATATAAAAGGGTTCTTTCCTAAAGCACAGAATGTCTCAAGCAACAATGAAAAGGCCCCCTTTTTTCTACTCTGTTCCTCTCTCTCCTTTAATGGTCTTTTGCCTCTGGCATTTCCTGACTGCCAGTCAGCTGAGTCCTCTGGAAGGGCGTGGCATCCAGCGACTTGGATGCTCTTACCAATGCTGGCTGTTGGTGACTGTGTGCCTGTGGGCAGGCTTTCTTCCAGGCATTATTAGCTCCTGTGATTGGACGGCAAAGAATTTTAACTATAACAGAAAGAAGGAGCTTGCCAGGGGCCATGTACCTATCTTCTTTTAAGTGCTGGCAGCTAATGAGCCTCTATAAAGTGTTTACAGTGTGCAAAGGCCAGGCAGGTATGGAGGAAAGGCTACTCTGACCCTCATGCTGTCAGAATTTCCTTTCCAAAGCCCAGGTCTGAGCACCTCATTACCCTCTTCGAAAACTGTCCGTTTCATTCAATTTGGCAAACCTTGAATGAGTGGGGCTTGGGTACACAGAAGAATCAGATCTGGCCCTGTTCTAAAGGTATTCTTCTCAAGGCAGGAGGAGAGAAACTTAAGCAAGCTGTGCTTGAACACGGCAGATGCTCAAGAACTACGTGTTAAATGGAACACTTCTTGATCTTTCTTGCTAGGAAAGTGTTCTCTAGAAATACAGAAAGGTTAAGACTTAGTCCCTGCCATAAGGATGTAATGGATGTGATCGGGACACTAAATACATAGGCAAGGTCATGTCAGTATGGGGCCTGGCTCTGTGTGTGTATGTGTGTTTGTGTCTAGCCACCATTTGTTGATGAACAGTAAAAATCAGCATTTTTCAATCCCAGACTGTGGAAACATTTATACCATGATATAAAATCATTCATATCGAAGCTCTCTGCTTCTTAAAGGCCTATAAACTTATCAGCAATAGCAAACATTTATTAAGACTTTACATGTGGCTGTCTGCCAGGGCTGCAGTGGAAGAGGGGTGGGAGGAGAAAGGGAAAGGTGCAGAGAGTGAGAAGTATGATCCGGGACAAGGAAACTTATTATCGGTAAGA